AAAACATTCAGCGCGGTAAATTTCCATCTTTAATTAAACCTCACTTCTTCAAGAGACGAATGACGATTTTATAAAAGTGGTTATCTTGGTAGACTTGTCTGCCATATTTTTGGCATCTCCACTTTCAATTTTGGTATGGGAGTTTGGCAAATGCAATGGCTTTCCCAGGAACCCGTCTCTCATTTGGACGCTTTTGTTGAAATACTTCACAATAGATTCAAGAATTGTACCTTTACGCAACGGAGTCAGTTCTTGCTTTCTTTTCACTGCAACCCAGTAAGAAGTAACTAGTTTCTTAATGGACTCTAACTTTTCTATTTGCTTCACGATCTTTTCGGGACGTGACAACAAAGGCTGAGCAAGGCCTTCGAGACGTTTCTTACGTAAGCTTTCTAAGAGCTGCACTGATTTTTCTCTTAATTTCTCCATCTTTTCAGCCCTTTTGTTAACAGCAGCCATTGCAGATGTGTGGAACAGAAAAGACCTCGCATAGTTCAAAGGAAACATTCTCTGCAAGGATCTATCTTTGCCAGAGTTCGTACATGTACATGTATAAAGCCGGTAAAGCCTATTGATTCCCAGCACGTGAACATAGTTAGTGGACTAACTGACGTGAACGCTCGGAAATTTGTGAACAGTGACATCGTTGTCCTTATCACCACCAAATTTCGCCCGCCTGATCAATTGCATTGAAGTCTCTTGATTTCCTGTACACTACATATCATACTGGAAGGCATTTTCTGCTAGTATACGGGTGTAAACTGTACGATATCATAACGTCTGAAAACAGCCGCCATTTTGGTCTAGATCTCAGTCTAGCCGGTTATGTTCGTCGTTTAAGCTCCGGAAGCTCGGAATTCTTCCGGAGAACTTCGGATTTCGATCGTGCTCATAGTAGTCTGGGACGGAGAAATTGCACCACAACACGCGACCGGCATCTGTGTAAGAATGATTTCTCACTCCACAAGTACGATGCACAGAAACTGTTCGGTTTAAAGATGCACATGTACCTCATCAACTTGCAGTTGCTTTTAATGACAGTATTTTAACATACGAGATAATTACGATATTTCATCCTTGCCGGCCTCGATTTTGGGTAAGTTTATCAACTTTCTCTGTACACGCACAAGACTTCGATCTTACAGTAAACAAGAACCCGAGCT